CAGTCTGGAGTACTGGTTCCGTGACACTTTGATCTCCGAGGGCAACTCTAAGCCCATACTTTACAGATTTAATTTCTCTCTCCCATACACCTCCCAAGTGTGGGGCACTTGGCGGGTTAAGGTGGAAGCGAATCTTCTGTTTAGCAAGTTGTGTTGTCAATGATGGCACCATTACTGCCCATGCCTCATTGAGTTCCTTGACTCTTCCTTTGAAATTGGTTCCATTTTCTGACCAAATCTCAAATGGCTTCCCTCGACGTGCTATGAAACATCGTAGTGCCATCAAGTAGGCATCAGTGTCCATTTTGTCAAGCAGGTCGATATGAACTGATCAGGTTGTCATGCATTTGAATATGATACCCCATCTTTTCTCCGAACGTCGTCCAACTGTCACGTGCATCGGTCCAAAGCAATCAGTTCCTGAGGAATAAAATGGCAGTTTGAAGAGTCTCAAGCATGCTGGTTTGCAAATCTGCCATTTTGGGAACTTGTGGATTTGCTCGCCATTTCTGACAGACTACACACTTGCTCCGGTGGGAGTGAACAGCTTCTCGTCCACGTATAATCCAATAACTTCGCCGAATCTAGGCAAACACATGCTCCACTCCACAGTGTAACAAGTCAGTGCCATAAGTCAGTGTCATATTTGCTGATGAGCAGATGGGTTGTCGGATGTTTAGGGTCAAGCACAATAGGATGTTTGGTGTCATCTGAAAGTTCCTCAGAGCGGCGGAGACGTCCGCCAACGTGGATTAGCTGTAATTGCTTGTCGAACACAGGGTCGAGCTGCATTAGTCGACTCTTTGAAGGTAATCTCTCACCATTCTCAAGTGCTGCAATATCATCAGGGAAACATTGCAATTGTACTTCTCGCAGTAATTGCAGTTCTGTGGCTTTTCGCTGTTCAGCAGGTTCGGCCGCCCCATCAAAACCCTCCATGGTTTTCGTCACAAGTTCATCCCAGCTTGTACATTCAGCTGGATCTACTGTCTTCAGATCTGATACCACAGCAGTAGCACAGAATGTCGACTTCAGTTCCACTGTGTCATCAATTACCTCAAAACTTTCTTGGTCAGGCCACTTATGGCAGGAAGGGTGGACCTAGTTTCCAACGTGAGTCCTCGCTGAGTTCTGAGAGTGACGTCATCTGCTGGATTGTCCTGAGTGTCCACAATACCCGAGAAATCACTTTGGATGTGGTTCTGCTGTTATAGTTTCAAATTTAGAAAAGAATTTCCGTTTCAGTGTTTCTGTTCTCCGGTATATACCTGAAATTCGCCGGTAAAATTCGTTTGAGACCGGTAAATTGGAAGCCAGCCGGACACTGTGTCCGGTAAATAATCATGTATTAAAATTTAAAAAATCATGGGTAAGCGAAATGACAGTCTTGGCTGTGCTTTCACGGTCTCAAAAATTGTTATATTCCGGAAATACCAAGGCTAAAAATAACTTTAAATGACAGTCGATCCATCAATTATTATTATCTTGGATTATAGCTTAGAACGTAATAAACCGGAGAAAGCCAAAGTTTTTCCGATTGTCTAACATGTCAAAATGGCTCGAAGGCAGACTACGCTTTCAAATTTCTTCACTCGGTTTATCTCAGGAATAATCGGATTTTCATAGCAAAGGCTCAAATACATGTGAGAAACAATCAAAATCAAATCCCATAAAAAAGTTGCCATGTGATCACACATACATGTCATCGAAAATAGCACATCAACAAATCCGCTGTTGAGCTCTGGTTAATCACGTTGTAAACTAGTGAAATTCAGTGTGGATTGCAATTAACAGTGTTTATCGTACATATCCACGGTTTTTCAGATGCTTAAAAAATACAGGGTTTTTTTCAATAATAATAGATAAACAGCGAAACATCGTAATAACTTTATCATAAAGACATGTCATCAGCCGAGTATTTACAACGTTTTCTATGATGCAACACACCGCGGTAATTGCGCAGGTAAACACCGCCATCCGAGAATGTATTATGTCAGAAAACACATTTTATTAATTAAATTCAATCCCATTTTCATTTATTAAAACTGTTTACAAAAACAACGGAGAAACCGTGAGTGAAATGGCATTACCTCATTTCATACAACGCCCGCTTACCACATTCGTGAGGGTCCGTTTTTCGCGCCTACCGCGATAGCACCAATTTCACATTTTTCTCAGCAATCACTTACAATCACAACCTTGTCATCCATTGACCCCAAGACCCGCGTTATTGACTCATTGAAGTCATATTTGACAATTAATTGCCAACATTTTGTTTTTACAATCAAAGTGGCACGTACCGCGGGAAGTCAGCGGTGACTGTCAAACTGTCTCCTACGTAAAATGTATCCAGCCAGGTAACCCAAAGTGACTTATAATTGACTTATTCAGAGGCTGCTTCCATTTGAGCATTTCGCAACATGCGCAGTGGTTTTATTGATGAACTTTGTGATTCATTGCACAAAAGATTTCCAGAAGATTCCATGCACGTACTGACCTGTCTGGATAAAGTTTTGAACCTAGTTCGCTCGCCCAATTCACAAGACAACTTGACTGAATACGCTTGGGATTCCCAAGATCTATCATTAGAACAGTTTGGCCCTGTGATTGGACAAGATGAGGCTGACGTCAGAGCATCTATCGATCGCTCTAAAAAAGACTTTAGCCATTTCAAAACTACAGTCGCGTGTCTCGGCACAACTTCGATGGAGCAGGACTGTAGGGCAATTATTACTGATTTTGCCAATGTGCTCCGAGATTTTGCAATTCTCGCACGTATAGCACTGACAATTCCAGTCAGCAGTGTCCCTGAGGGGGTTCAGCCTCCAAAATATCATTCATACCGCGAGGAGGAATCGTCTGTCACAACATTGCCTTTCAAACTTGATGCTTCTAAACTTGCATGCCAAAGAGAAACACATTCAGGGGGCCAGCACTCAATTCAGAAATAAAAAAGAGGAAACTTTGAATCATATTGCGTCTACTTACGCCTTGAATTGAAATGAAGTTGACTGAAAATGGATACACAGTGTATATATTTTGTTTCGCTTAATGTCATATTTATTGTAGCTGTCGATCACAACAAACTGGCATGCACACTCCGGCGCAGCGATGACTTGCATGTTTACCTCATTCCATGAGCGTACAACTGCTGCTTACCTTGTTCATGACGGACGTATCTAAATACATAATAACCCAGCTGCAGAATATAAAAAATCTAAAAAAGGAACAAAAAGTCTAAATAAATAATGATCTGCCAGTAATGTGTTAAGATAAATAAGCGAAGTTTTGGTGAAATCATAATTGTTGTTAGCTTTCGAGCCAAACAAAATGGCGGCTGCCGACCGGGTGGATGTCAATGAAATATTCAACTACCCTTGCCGGAAAGGCAGATCCAACGTTTGGAAGTGTTTCGGATTTTGGAAGAAATGTCAGGGGTCCCCAACGAAGGAAAAACTTGACATGTCAAAGGCGATTTGTCGTATTTGTCGAAAGGAATACGCAAACAAAGGTATCTACTCATTATTTCGTGATACTATCAAGTGAATGGTCTAATTGATAAGTAAAGATGTTATGAATGCGTTGTTTACTGTAATATCATATTATATGTGCATGATATGAATCCGTCCATACTCAGAAGTCTATTACTATCAGTACGAAATTTGAAACTACAGAATACATACAAACAAATTGAAACGTTATTGAAAACGAATGACATGTAGGCCTTGTGACATGAATTATCGTAAATCAGGTTAAAACTTGAGTACCCTTTTACTTTGCTATGTCAGAGTCACTTTTGGATATATATCTACTTGCAAACATAAAATATATGAAATAAATCCTGAAAGTTGATTTCATAAATGATAAGAGATTATTTATTTGTCGAAATCAAGAACATAATTGATATTTGTCTTGTACTTAGTCGACGAAAATATATGTTTGTGTCTATATATTTCGAATTTCAATGAATTTTGTTCTAATTTCGTAAAATTTCTAGTGAAACGTATTAGCGTAGTTTAGGCTAAAATTTGTAGCCACTAGTATGATAAAATTGTTGAGGTTGGCATCTCTGGCATTGATGGTAAATAAATAATAAACCATAAAAAGAACAAATTCTTTTTCTTTTCTTTTGTTCAAGTTCAACCATCTGTCTCTGAACTGAACTTACGTACCTTTAAGATTCTGAGACAATACCAAACACATGGTCTTGTGTAACATATGTTTTATTCAGAGGTTATTCTTGTCATTTCATTTAACCGATTATTGACTGATGATTGATCGGTTGAGCCAATCCGATTGTAACCGATGATCGATTATGAAATCACAACCGATTCCCAACACTAGTCAAAGGGTACAATTATTTTTCAATTCTTTGCTTTTCTGGCTAACAGGTAAAAGGTTACATGTTCTCAACGTGACATTAAGTGCTTCGCATCAAAAAAGAATATAGTTACTGATGTTGTTTTTAATTTTATTCTGCTTATGGCAACGTTTTTCATTTTTCTGACCTTAGTCACATAGGTATTTGATCGGAAAACAACAATATCATCGCAAGGGTGAACCTATTAAGTTAGATACAAAATAGGCTATGTTTCATCGACTTTTTCATCAGACACCATGAAGTACAATGTCTACTAACATTAAATTATTGATATGCTTTACAGTAAAGTTATCAGTTTATCTGAGCAAACCGCTTCACTGATAAATTTGTCTCATATAGGTTATTATTTGTCTGAGCTATTTTCTTCTCTAAACATTTGTCATTATGTGTGGCATGAATGTGTGATTGAAAGGATTTGTGTTTTGATATAGTTTGTCATATTGATGACTCTGTCTGTCGGTGATGCACTGCTGTTTTCGGCCTGTCTTGTTTATTCTAATACTCAAAGAAACATTATTGATGAAGATGGACTGCTTGAGTGTATCTTTTTTTGCCGATTCAGTCACAGCTGCTGGTAATTTTTCTAATATCTAATAGACTAAGAGAGAGATACGCATACACACCCTGTAATACGCACCAGCGATAAGACATTTGCTAGTGGCCGTTACGGTTTGCTATGTACAGAGTAACGGCTCGATACGGCTGAAAAACATTGGGTGTGTCACGGTGACAGGTACATTTTATCACATTTATACACTATATCGTAAACATCTTGTCAGTCATAGATAGCCAGTGTATTTGAAAATGCGAATGTGTTCAAAGGAATTGTTTTAAATGTGAATTTACGAATTTATGACCCTTTGATTCCAAACATTGTTGATGCTTTCAATTTCATTTGTGTATTATTGTCTAAATTTGTCTTAAAGAGAAATTCAACTTATATATTTATTTTCAAGAAGCATACTATAACATGATTGTTAACTGCATTAACCGTAATATGGTCTGATATGAAAGGAAAGGCTGATATGACATAATATTCACAACATTTTATGACTTTGATGCTACGGTAGCTAATGGTAAGCTTTGTGCGTAAATACGGTTTCCTATGGTCACCGCAGCAGTGAAATCAATACATTAACCCATTTCTGGTGTCCCCCGCCGTGATGTTGCTGGAATATTGCTAAAAGCAGCGTAAAACCAAACTCAGTCAGTCAGTCAATACATTAACATTTATTGCAGTTTATAAAACTCCATTTCAGAGCTGGTTTAACTTCAAAATAGCAGTTTGATGTGCTTCATTTAGTGCATTTAACTGCCACAATAATGGTATATACAACAAATAAATTCAACCCGGTTCCATTTGGCATTCTCTCGCGACTTTCACCCAAGCCAATGCCAAATGCGATATTCCTGTTTTGCAGACCTTAACATGAAGGTTTGTAAACATATGGTGAGAATCAAGTATACTAAACTGTGGATCTGTACTTTCTGGTTTTTAATACAAAAACCTTGGAATATCTGAATCACCAACTTGTACATTTCTGTGGAGAGATGTGGATTCCCATTCTGCATATCGGGTAGCATATATGTCACAAGCCCAGGTAATGTTCATAGTGGTCTTTTTGAACTTGGACACTACCCCTTCTTGCACAACACTTTCAATGGTTGAAGAGAGTTAGTTTTTCTTGCTTTTGTGGTTGGTTCAGTTTTGTTATTAACCACATCATACAACTTTTGACTCATCTCTTCAAGCCGTGATGCGGACGATGGGTCTTTCCTAAGACGTTTTCCTTCAAATGTTTTAAATAAAGTTGCATTTCTTTCTTGTTTAATTTCTGACACAGGCGTTGGGGGGAACTGAATATCTCTACAAACTGCAGGTCACTGATACCGAGATGATTCTTCCTTGTAGGCTTGTAGTTCTCATTCAAATACTTCCGAACTGACAAAATATCAGATTGATCTAATCTTCTGCCTTCCTGTGTGCTGTCTTGGCTTCCCGAAGAATCAGAGACCACTGCCCTGAAAGATTCACTTTCCTGATCCACTATGGTATCAGGACGATTTGGCGTCACAAGGTCCTCAGGTCCATCTCAACCCTGACGCCATAGAAGAGGACTCTATCTACACCTTCACTTTCACTGAAATCATCATCCTCTTTATCATCTATGCTATTTTCAGTGTCAGGAACTTTCTTCTGCAATGAATCCAATGTATCCTTTGCCATTACAAAAGGTTTCTTTGAACTCTGTAAACCATGTAGAATGATGGAGCGGTTTTGCCCTTCTAGGTTTACTTTCTGTAGCAGTTCTTGGTAATTTTATACCAGGAGGACATTTTGCATGTTGATTTCTTTTAGAATTGTTGGTTTCTTTGTACTTTTGGATTCTTCATAAACATCCTTCTGGAATTGCAATAGGGTCAATGGCCTATCATCACAACTTCTAACCACGAGTCTGCTCCACTGGTCATCAAAACAGCAAACTGGTGTATGAATATTTTGCTTTTCCCACTCTTCTAAGACAAACCGTATCAACATGATCAATGCTAGCAAACCGTATCCACGAAAACAATTTGCCACTAGCAAACGTGTGGCTCCATGTGTAGCAAGCCATAGCCTCTCAAATTAGAATTTGTCTGTAACTTCACCATATAATTGAAATTATCCACACCCAATTACACACATACACATCACAATTACTTGTCACCTGGTATCACATTGGTTTGTGAAGTGTATGTTGTTTTGATAATTAAAACCAGACATTATTTCCATTTGATGCCAAAACTTAGCAAATAACATTGAATTTTTACACAATTCTTGTAACATTTGGTCGGATTTTTAGATCAAATTATTACAGAATTATTATGTTATCAAAGTACGATAAATTTGCCCCCCAAAAGCTTAACGTTTGGCTTTATTTATACAATTTGTGCTGTAAGACCACACGGTGAAAAGTAGTTTCAGCCGTAGGGAGCTGTTACTCTGTACATAGCAAACCGTAATGGCCACCAGCAAACGTCTTATCGCTGGTGCGTATTACAGGGTGTGTCTCAGGGTGCATCATGGTCAAAGTCTGGTTTTGTAAAATATTGTTATGAAGCACTGTTATTCATTGTGTAACAATGTTCTACCGTATATTACCGTCTATAAGCCAAGTTTTGCGGACCAAAAAAAGCAGTCTGTAGAAGGGGGTCGTCTTATGCATGGGTTACGCTTTCGTCAAACTTTTTTCCAGGGGTAAGGAAGCAACAGCGTATCACTTCGCTTGAACAAACAACAGAAGACGACTTTGTCAGTAGAGACGTCAAATTTGCAATTAAACATCACTAGACAAGATTATTTACCTTTTAAGTTGTAAGTTGTTTTTGCTGGGCATTGTATTATTTGCAGGGATTAAGATTAGGGATTAAGAGCCAGAAATAGCAATCAGCTGTGCACATATTTCCCGGCGATCAAGTTCAAACATGCACAATAATATAACGGGACGAATTCTGACGCAGTCATCAGTAAAATATAATACAGAATACTATTATTTAACCCAAAGAAATATATCCTAGCATTGTGTAATTTTGATTACAGTTTTTGCTCTATAAATTAATTAAGATTAAGATTACCGTGTGTATTTGAGCCGGAAATAGCAATCAGCAGCGAACAAGTTCAAACATGCACAATAATATAACGGGACGAATTCTGACGCAGTCGTCAGTAAAATATAATACAGAGTACTATTATTTAACCCAAAGAAATATAACCTAGCATTGTGTAATTTTAATTACAGTTTTTATGTAAAATATATATAATTAACACTAAGGTTATACGGACCCTCATGAACGTGGTAAGCAGAAGTTGTACGCACATGGAATGGGGTAAAAAACGGAAGCCCTTTAAATTCACACATTTTTACTGATGTTACTGTAAACTAGCAGTCAATGGAAAACGAGGCGGTAATCAGTTCGTGATTGTTGAATGGGGTAAAATAAGCAAGCCAGTTTGTTGCTACAATAAATATGATATTTAGAGACACAAAGTATACTGACACACATTGAAAACGCAAAACCAAATTCAAATGAGGAAAACTTAACAAACAACAATACTTGGATGAAAATTGTTCTACAGTTATGTTGAGAATTTCATTGTGCTTCATTTTCATAAAAAAATGATTGCAAGAGTTCCGCCAATATGACTGACACGTCAAGCGTCACACACAGTTCCCCCTTACGTCCGTCAGTAGCGAGTGTGACCTCCCTGAGCCTGTACACATGCACGGAGTCGACGTGGCATGGATTCGCACAAACGTCGAACAGGTGCTTGGGGGATGTTCTGCCACTCCTGTTGTAAAGCCAGGGTCAACTCAGCGACGTTGTTTGGCTGACGTTGACGTTGACATTGATGAATCCAGCGGCCAAGCTCATGTTCATGTTGCTGCCTGTAGACGCGTTGTCTGCCACCTGCAAATTACACACAGAACCTGGACCCATTGAAACACACCCACTGGTTGGAGATTCAAGGTGGTTGGAGGCTATGTTGCTGTGCAAACAGGAGTCTGTTGACTCGATGACGTTGCGTAATGACGTTTCCCGATATGGCCCCTTAGTGCCACAGCCTGCAGACGTCAAATGACTGTCATGGCACTGATGTGGCGTCCTTTACGTCCTACGGTGTTTCCAGGTGAGTTTGCTGCTGTCTGAAAGCGTTTTCTTTGGTGAACTTGTCGGATGTGCTGGTCTGGATGTGCCGTTGTGAACGGAGTTTGTCCTGGTAAGGGACGGTCACGGGCGCTTCCAGTTTGCTATTGACGAATTTGGAGTCTGTTGATGGTGGATGGGCTCTCTCCGAAGTGGTGGGTGACCTCATTTTGTGATGTTCCCACCAACAGCATCCCGATAGCTTGTTCCCTCTGCTGTTCACTGAGCCGTGGCATTTTGTGACTGCTAGTGAAACGGTTGAACCACAGTGCCTTTTATGCGTCCAAAACCTGGCTTTGCATGTGTATGTCATGATAATCATGCACCCCAACAGGTCCAAGGAATATGCCAGAGTTGTGTTTTCATGAACTGTACCCATGCCAGAAACACGAAAAGGGTTCGAACCCAGATGTGCATATGGTTTTATTCGTCAACCTCACATCACTATATTTTCGTGTGGTAAATGAAATTGCTTCACAAAACTTTGTTAGAAATTGCCAAAATGGGTTTTGCGTTTTCAATGTGTGTCAGTATATACAGTGAAGCCTCGTTAATCCGGACGGTTGCGTTTCTCAGCAAATTTGTCCGGATTTCGAATTGTCCGGACTACTGAATCAAGACCCAAGTTCAAGCAAGAGTTGCTTCCCTTACTATTACAAAAACGCCACGACTCTGGATAAAACAAATAAGCATTAATGTAAGGCTTAAAACGATGAATAGCTGGCACAACAATAAATCATAGCAAAAAGTCTTTCATAGTTGTCTGTGTTCTTTTAACCTTTTTCATTGAATTCTTCACATCAATAATTTTACCTAGTGACATCTCATCGCCGATTGTCTCAAAATATGTCACCAGACTTTCCAGGTATTTCTCTGCCTCAGTCGAACTTGGTGGAACGGGGGCTGGATCACTTTCCTCCTCTTCTTCTTCACAATGATCAGTTGGCTGGACAATGACAATGATTGCGCTGTCCGTGAGCGGCTCGCATGTTGATTCATTGTCTTCTTCGGTGACATATTCTTCAGCGCTCACAACATCCGATGAAGGATACTCATTCAGGAGTAGTCTCAATTCCGACAACGCAATGTCATCTTCATCCACAGAATCTGAATCACCTTCATGAGAAATAATGTCCACATGTCTGTAACAGTTGCTAATTGTTTGCGAACTAACTTCGTCCCAACTAGTTTTCACAAAGAGAAGTGCCTGTCTCACAGTCAGTTTCTGATCACGCCCTTCCTCGGCACAGGTGATGTAATGTCTCACAAGCGATCTCTTGTAGTATGCTTTAAATGTCCGAATTATCCCTGCATCCATCGGTTGAATATGTGACGTGGTGTTTGGTGGCAAAAAATGCAAGGTCACATTTCGCAAAGTTAGCGAAGCACACTTGTGACTTGCAGCGTTGTCGAGAAACAAAAGTCCACGTGACCGCATCTGTCTGTCAAAGTACAACAACCAATCACAAAACAGCTCACTTGTCATCCACCCCTTTGTATTGTGTCGATATCTCACATAGACTTCTGGGTTGAAATCACGTCCAAAACACCTCGGTCTTCTTGCCTTAGCGATCACAAATTGCTTTACTTTCACAGTTCCGCTTGCATTTGCACACAATGCCACAGTTATTCTGTCCTTTGAACCTTTCACACCAGGCGTGGCTTTAGTTGCTAGGGTGTAATTTGGTCCTAATCTGTAAAAAAGTCCTGTTTCATCAATGTTGAAAATAGCTTCAAGGCCAGACTTCTAAGCTTAAAACTTTCTTCAGTTCCTCTCTCCCCGCGATGACTGCAGTCTTGTCGGCACTGGCTGCTTCACCCTAGAGCACTTGCTTCGATATAGAGTGTCGAGATTTGAATCTGGCCAGCCATCCACGAGAATACGCGAAATCCTTAATTGACAACTTGTCACCGAAGTCTTTCGCTTTCAGAATCAACATCTCGTCATTAACAGCTGCATTCTTACTGGTCTTGTCATTCATCCATTAAAAGAGCGCCTCCTCCATTTTCTTATGTTTGGCGTTTCTTGCTCGAGACAGGGCCGCAGAATCTTCAGGAATGGTAAGCCATTTTTCCTTGGACTTCAGGATGTCACCGATTGTAGATTTTCCCACTGAATGTCCAAATAATTCACCAAAGTGTTTACTTAGGAAATCTAAACTTGCTTTTGGATGTTCTTCCTTGTATCTTGCAATCTCTCTCTTTTCGAAAGCGGTAGTCTCATTTCGTTTTCTTTTAGCAGGTTGACTCGCCAGGTTTGCTGACAAGTGTCAATCAAACTGTAAATGTACAGCTTCAGTCGGGAGCTTTTTTGTGTAATTAAAACAACAACCCTTAACTGACATTTCTCAAAAGTTAACAAGAGTTCATCTTGTCAACTCCGGGGCGGTGGGGTAGCCTAGTGGTTAAAGCGTTGGCTCGTCACGCCGAAGACCCGGGTTCGATTCCCCACATGGGCACAATGTGTTAAGCCCATTTCTGGTGTCCCCAGCCGTGATATTGCTGGAATATTGCTAAAAGCGGCGTAAAACCAAACTCAGTCAGTCAGTCAGTCAGTCTTGTCAACTCCATGACACCGAGTGTATATTGTTTGAGGCCAGTTAAGTAAACATCGCCGGGAAGTGTTGTTACAGTTCGTGAACACGACTTACAGCGTCCCGAACCGTGAAGCAATTTCCTGTTTATTTTACTGATTGGTGACAGCTACTTACCGTCCGGTTCCGGAAACCGAATTTCCGGATTATCGAAGCAAATTATATAGGCTTAGATTGGTAACAAGCTGAAATCGTCCGGAAGACGAGACATCCGGATTATCGGAGTCCGGACTAACGGGGCTTCACTGTATTATGGAT